AAAGAGAAAGAGAGAGAGAGACAGAGAGAGAGAGAGAGAGAGAGAGAGAGAGTGGATGACCTATGTATTTGTGACAGTGGGATATTGAAATCACTCACTTCACTTATATTGGTATCTGTCTATCCCTTTATATTGAGGATTGTTGATAGTGAGTTTGAGGCCAACTTAGGCAATTTGGCAAGACCCTGTATCAAAATAAGAAAATGAAAAATGGGCTGGGAACGTTGCTCAGTTTAAATTCCCTCAGTTTAATCCTGAGTAACTCAAGCCAAACAAAAACAAAACAAAACGAACAACAAAGAAAACTCAGAAACTAAGACTAAAGATTAGCCAGCGATTCCTCATGTCTCAGGATTTGACTTGGAAAGGTAGGGTCAATTCCATTCACTTCCTCTCAGCTTGCAGCAAACTAGGTAGGTTAGTGAGCTGTCTATGATACTGTTTCTCACCGATCATGCTCATGTCCAGTGCTGTGGTTCCCAAGGAAGGCTTCTGTGTGCTCACCTTGGGGCATGACAAATGACTGAGGGGCATCCAATCCTGCCTCTGCAGTATGTGGAGCATGCAGGACAGATGCACACTCTTCTGCTTCCTCTGCCTGTGTGCCATTGGGTCTACAAAATGACTGAGTGGCTGAAACAATCCCTTTTCGCTGGTGTGAGCTTAATGGAATTGACCGCAGAGCATGTGTCCAGCCTTGCCTGAGGCCAACAGTAATGCCTGTGTCTAGACTGCTGCCTGCTTTTTGCAGCACCTGTACTTTGATGGCTGTGGGCTGCACCAATCAGATTTATCTCAGCCCAGATGTGCCTTGACTGCATCTGTATGGTGATGAACCGCAATGCTATAGAACAGCTGTAAATTCCTGGGAAGCCTCAGAGAATGGGGGCAGCAATCAAGTTGCTAAGCTCTGTGTTGGAGAAGTGGCCAAGAGGACAAAGTGTTCTGTGATCAGCCTTCTCGGTGCTCACTGCTCTCAAGCACACTGTCTTCTAGTTTCCAAGGCCTCAGCCACCTGCACTTTCTGTTGTGGTCTCTATCATAGCCAGCACACCATGCTGCTCAAACTTCCTGGCAAGAAACTGTGTCACACTTCCCTCAACCAAGACTGTCTGGCATGATTCTCCCACACAGCCAGTGCATCAGGGTGGCAACCTGCAGCCCTAACTGTGATCACTCCCAAGGCTTTCACTACCTAGGGGAGATTAGTCTCTATTAATAGGACCTCTCTTAAGATGGCTCTGAGAATTTGCACAGTCCAATGTCAGGTTACATGTAGAAGGGGTCACTTTCAGACCTAATACCCCTGCTGTGATAAAATCTGGACTGCAGATTTCCACCTCTGAGAGGATCATTTGCCAGTTTGGAATATCTAAGAGTTCTCAAAATGGTTACTTACCTTATATTTACAGCTTCACAGTCACTACCCACTAACCAGGAAAAACTGTATTTAAAGTTAAGAATCGTTCCATTACTTTTTTTCAATTTTAAAATTAATTTTATTGGTACATTTAAGGTATACAGTATAATGACATTCATCATTGGAAATTTGTCTTTAAGTAATCCATCTTGTTTCTTATTTTTTCCCCACTCCCCTGCCCTCCCTTCAACCCCTCCACCCCTCCCTATCTACAAAGACTTTGTTTCCATTTTTCTTTTTCTCATATTAATTCCATTTCTTTCCTTCCTTTCCCCTACCCCTCCCACTTCCCCTTCCCCTTTGTACCTTTCCTTCCTATTTCACGTTATCTATTTACTTTTATTGATTTTTGTGTTATTTATATCTTATTTTGCTTGCCTGTTGGTTCCCAGAATGATTGCTCATGTTCACTGGATGGGAAATAGTTTCTCCTTTGTTGGACTGACTTCTCAGTTACTGAATCACACAATCATAGCTTTTGTTTTTAATTCAGTATTTATCAGTTTTGGACTTAACGCTCAAGTTGGGGTCAAATCTACCTATATAGTTTTACTTTGTTGTAGATCTCATGGGAAAGAATCCCGTGTTGTTTCCACTGTATGAGAAAGCAGCAAATGATTTTTGTCTCCTAGTTTGTTTGCTTGTTTGTTTGGTACCAGGGATCGAACTCAGGACATTGCACTTGTGAGGCAGGCAGTGGCACCACTGAGCTAAATTCCTGGACCTTTGTCTCCTAGTTGACATTCTGTAGGTTGGAGGAAAGGATTTGGTTGCATTTCTTCCATTACATCTGCAACTGATGCCATTTTTGACTACTACAACTAATTTTAAAATTGAGAACAGAATAGTTGGTGCCAGTATCTACCAGAAAATCAAACATTTGGTTTCCCAAATTTCACTTGGCTCCAAAAGATTGAAGGGAACCCCTGGGTCTTATTCATCATCAACATCATAGTTTCCATAGCCCCCCCCTCATTTTGCATTATCTCTTTTCATTGCAATATACACATTAGTCCCATCACTGAAACTACCTTTCCATGTTTCCCTGATCTGTTTTTCTTTCTTCTTCTCATCTACCTGCTGCAACCACAGAATCTGTAGCCTATCTTACAAAAGTAGAGACAAGCAATTCAGTAATTTTTTTGCTGCTAGTGTCTATGTGGTAGGTTAGAGCTTTGCTAATTTAACACATCTGAAGTTGGGAATTGATTATAAGTCCAGTAATATCTTCCTAGGTGACCATCCTAGTGCAGTTCATGGAATTCATATTCCTGTGGTCCCTAAACCAACTGGTGGCAGATTTAAAGCACTTAGGAGGACAATTTCTTCATTATCTTGAGTTTTAGTATCTAGAAGGGTAAGTATGTAATGTCTTGCTTTCCTCTGAGAAACATTAGCCAAGTTCCCTCTTCCTTATAACTTCTTATTATGCAAGAGTATGAGAGTTTGTACCTACAGGACTTCATCTCATTAACCTGATCTTTGTCAAAATAAATCTAATTGTAATGTAGTATGATAATTTAAAGATCTGTTAAGTACCCATTGTTCATCAGAATTAAACACATTAATAGGCCTTCTAGTATTGCAGTAGAGTACCAACTAATTTTTAGTCATATGATTATAACTTAAGCAATCCAGTGAGATAGTATACAGCACAAAGGACTTTTAAATGGTACTGAAATTTTAGCTGTCCATTTTAGAAACAAAAGTGGCTATAAGAAAGAAGCAGGAGGATCACAAGTTTGAATCCAGTGACTTAGTAAGATGAGACCCTTCTCAAGATACGGAAGAAAGGTTGAAGATGTAACCTACCATCAAGACTCTGTGTTTAATATACAGTACTGCCCCAAAAAAATGAAGGAGAAAGAAGGATGATGAGGAAGAGAAGAAAAACAAACCAACAAACCAAAAAGCCAGACCAAATGAACATTCTCCTCTTTTCTACCCAGGTTCAAGATCCTTCCAAAAGCATTACAAAGTATGATTTTAGTCAGTGATAAGGGGGGATGTACATGTTTCCCCAAATTGCCTCTGGCAAAATTGACAGATGTATTTCCAGTGCATGTTTATAGAAACTGGAAGCCATGGTGACAATCTAACCATGACCTCAAAATTCCTCCTCCTGGGACTGTCAGAGATACCTGAGCATCAGCTTCTCCTCTTCAGCCTGTTTCTATTCATGTACCTGGTTGCCATAATGGGGAACCTGCTCATCATCATGGCCATCATCTCTACTCCCAAACTCCATACTCCCATGTACTTCTTCTTAGCCAACCTGTCCTGTGTTTACAACTGTTCCACCTCTGTCACTGTACCAAAGATGCTGCTGAACATCCAGACCCAGAGCCAGCCCATCCCCTATGCCAGGTGCCTCGCTCAGATGTACTTTCTAATTCTGTTCCTAGAACTGGACAATGTCCTCCTGGTGGTGATGGCATATGACAGATATGTAGCCATCTGTTACTCTCTTCACTATGCTTCTACCATGAGCCCCACATTCTGTATCACATCAGTGTCTGTGGCTCTGACCATCACCAACATCTATCCCTTGGTCCACACTCTGCTTATGGATACAATGCCCTTCTGTACAAGTGTCAGAATACATCATTTATTTTGTGAGCTCTATGCATTGCTAAAGCTTTCCTGCTCAGATATCCATGTCAATGAGTTGGTTGTTTATACCCTGGGAAGCATTCTTTTTGTTAGTCCTTTCCTCTTTATTTGCCTCTCCTATGTGCTCATCTTCTCAGCCATTCTAAGACTACATTCTTCCCAGGGTAAGATGAAAGCCTTTTCCACTTGTAGTTCTCACCTTGCAGTGGTATCCTTGTTCTACTTAAGCTTTGGGGTCTATCTGTGACCTTCCTCCTCATACACGGTTGAAGATTTTGTGGCCACAGTGCTATATACAGTGGTGACTCCCATGCTCAATCCCTTCATTTATAGCTTGAGTAAAGACATGCAGTGAGCCTTGAAGGGCCTATTCAGCTGAAACAAGGACTGGTCTTGGTGACAGCAGCTTCTGCTTCTTTAACATATGAAATGACCAAAATTTTACATCTCTTTCTCACTTTGGTCCTGCCATTTAAAACTTGATCCACATCTATCGGCTTTAGTTAACATCTATTGGCTTTCGTTAAACACTTTGTTATTATACAGATGGGACACACTTACATATTGGATAATAAGTCTATTTGTGGTCAACATCACTGTCTCCACAATGTATAAAACGTCTAAAGGTGTTCCTTAGCTCTTGTCAGTGTGGTTACACCTTATAAACCTGATAAAATTCAAAATTCTGCCTTAAATATAAAAAGCAAATAGATATAGACAAAAAATTCTGTACATAGCTGTAATATTGTTAACTTCACAGCATAATAAATATATTTGTGTTCTCCAAGTATATAGGCCTTCAAACACGCAAAGCCAAAAAGCAAAATAAAACAATACATCTTATGCTGGTGACTTCCTGTCAAAAGTTGTTTGTGTAGGAACCCAGTTTTCTGATCAAGGTGGTCTCCCTCTTTAGCCTTTGCTCTGAACAGCAAAACTAAGTTTTCTGGGCAGGGGGCTATAATAGCCTCCTCTCTGTTTTTCTGTTCCTCCTTTTCTGACCCAAGAGTGAACTTATCTCCTCCACGATAGTTGCTTAGTTAGAGATATTATATGTTTTGCTGAGTATAGAGAGTTTGCCTAATTGTGTAATCATATAGGGTGTTCTTTGAAGACAAAGAACATAATGACCCCTGCTGAACCTGCCCCTCTTCGTGGGCCTTGGTTATTTCCCTATTCCCGTAAGTACACTAGTAATAACCATTAGTAATGAAAAGTTAAAAATAGCACCAATAAAAAGAGAAAGCCTCCCCACCCCTATATAATCATGTCTTGAAAGTGGGTCTGGGCCTTCAGTTTGAGGCCACTGTGATGGTGCCACTGTGGATCCAGGCTCGAGCTTGCAATAAACTCCTCATGTGATTGCTTCGGACTCGACTCCTTGGTGGTCTTTGGGGACTCTGCGATCTGGGTACAACATTTGTGGTGTTAAAACATTTTACAATTGTTATATGATTTTGTTATAACAGTTTGTAACTTATGATTGTTAAGTGACAGCTCCAGACTTAAAACCATCTATGAGTTCCTTATGTAAGTCCGAAATATAAAATCTTTAGGTAAATGTTCAGATAAAAGTCTAGCTGTTAGACACAACTCCTCTTTCCTGCCTCCTAATCTGTTTAAAAAAAAAACATTGAAGTAGCTATGTGTTGAGAATAGGAATGCTTGCTCTGGATAGAAACAGACCTTGGTATAAATGACAAAGATGCCTAGGCTAGCCAAACAAAAGGTGACACAGGCTGTGTGGCTTTGGGTCAGGCTGTGCAAGCAGTATGACCTTGGGACAAGGTGAGCAGCTCACAGCCTTACCTCAAGATCCTGTCTCATCTTTTCTTATTTTTTCTTTTCCTTCATCTTCCCCAAAGTACAAGAGAGAGTTTAAAAACATACGCTTAATAAAGAGCTTAATATTTGTCCTTAAAATGTCACCTTTAGGTTTTATTTTACAAACTTGGGGCCAATTTAAAATATTTGAAAAGGTCAACTTTTATTTTAGTCTGCTTCTTGCCCCAAAAGATACTTGTAAGTCTCCCTCCTTAAGAAAAAACAAAAACGAAAAAACAAACAGAGCCGGGGAGCTTAGTGGCACCGCGCCTGCCTCAGAAGCACAAGGTCCCAAGTTCAATCCCCTATACCAAAAAAATAAAAAAAAAAAAAAAAAAAAAAAAAAAAAAAAGAGAAAAAAACCCAAACTTCTCAACTTTTATTTTGGGCTGGGCTGAAAAGATATATGCAGGCAGAAAAAAAGACCTTTGCTCAGCACACAATAGAAATATCTCTCCCAGTGTCAACACATCTTACAATATACATAGAGCACAGATCCTGACATAAAAATGATTGCTTGTCTCCTGAGCCACTTTACTGGCCAAGTGTACCTCTTAAGATAGAATAGGCTTTGTATTCCTCAAAACAAGCTTGCTACTTGACATCTCAATCAGTGCAAGACACTTTCCAGAGGGCTTTCCATTGTTCATGAAAAAGTTCTCAAAATTCATTCTTGCTAGGTGATCGCCCCTTAGAAGCTGCCCCAAAGGTGGGACCTCCTCCCATTCCCTCGCAAGCACTCACTGGGGCACCTTGGAATCACAGCCAGGAGGCTGAAGGGAAATGGACTCACCCACAGCTATGTGGGGGAAAAAGAGTACCCCATTGTGGCCACAAACAAAGGGTAAAAGGGTTCTGCAAAACAAACAGTTCCCATCACTCTCCTTTACAGGCACCTCTCTGCTGCTGCTGATCAGAAAAGGGGGGTTAGAGGCTAGGAAAGGAGGCTGCCAGGCAGATCATGATGGAGACACTCTGGTGCCTCACACCTTCTTAGTGTGTGTGTTTCAGGGAGGATATTTGGTCAGCCTTCCTTCCACGGAGACACCTCTGGGTTGTATTCTCAAAAACTAAAAAAATGTGATCCTCACTCATTAAAAACAAAAGTTATTTTTTTTCTATACACAGACATAGATAAGATCTCCATTAAGAGATGACAAGAACTGGCCAATAAAAATATCAATTATAATATAGTACTCCAACTGGACCTCTTTTATAAAGATTATGTTATAAACTGTTATAACAAAATCATATAACAATACAGACTTTATAACATAATCTTTATATAACATAGCCATATAACATACAGACTTTCTTACACTGAGAGATGCTCCTAACTTCTACAGGTCATGCTATGTAGACTCAGCTTTGTTACAAAAAGACAAAGCTCCAAAACTTGGTTTTATTATAAAGAGAGATAGTAAAGAAATATCCCATCTAACAATCTATAGCTCTTCTCTGTGATAGCATATGTTTTATACAAAAAATAAAATGTTAAATATACAATACATTTGAAAAAAATAACCCATGCTTTTCATCTAATAGTGTCAACATAATTGTTGGGTTAAAATGTTATGTTTTGCTCTTGATTTAAAATTCTCCTTATAAAAAATTATACCTATTATCTAGAACTATTCTATAAAAATTTTGACTTCTAAGAGACCAAAGTTAAATATATAACTGGGCTAAAAAGAAAAACAGCCAATATTTTGGTTCTGGCTCTCCAAGGTCAACAAAGACCCAGGGCATGAGGGAACCACTCTACTAAATCCTACAACTCTGATGAGTCACACAACCTCCTGAGCAGGAAGATTGTTAGACCCAGAAGACAAGAATCAACAACAGTGTGCATTTTACACAAAAGAGGGTTGCTAAAGAAAAAAGCATTTTCCATGCTTCAAAAAAAAAGCCATATGGTCAAACAAGACTGTGACTCATCCTGACAGATGACATTGGCACAAGAGCTAAGGGGCTCTATATATGGTTCCAAGAATAACTCCTGTAAAGCCTTAACTGACCTTAATGTACATCATAAGGTTAATCCTAATTAATACAAATCTCACTTAAACTTGGCCTTAAACACTCAGCCAGAAAAATAAACCAGAATATATATATTTAAAAAGTTAATCGTAATTTAGGATAAACACACAATGGGATCACCTGCTGGCACCTGCTGACAGTGTACACATAGACCTATAACTTGTTACTACTGTAGTTCAATAACTCTAAAAAAGCCACAATAATAGCTATAAAAGTTCAACAAAAATCTTTTAATTACTTAGCTAAGATTGTCCATCAGAAACATAGGGCCTTCATCATTCTTACAGCTAAAAACTTAACATACTTATATGAAATTTGTTATCTAAGTAAGTCACATCAAAAAATTCAAATTTAGGACCAGGGATTTAGCTCAGTGGTTCCGGCACCTGCCTTGCAAGCGCAAGGACCCAAGTTTACTCTCTGGTACCCTCTCCAAAAAAATTCAAACTTAGAAATAACCTCTTAACTGCCAAAAAACAGAGGCTATGTATATTTTTTTAAATGTTGCTTTTATGTCAGTCTGGTATAATAAAAGATATGTCACAAAAACTGGACAACTGTGCTTCAAAGATACATCAAAAATTATCTAACTTGTAGAAAGCCTGGTCAGAGATCTAAAATTTGACATTCTGATTACTCTCCCTAATAAGACCGATATTAATGCTTTTTAAGGCTGATTATTTAGACTGTTTTTCTTATTTTCTTAGTCAAATTTGTTTCTTCTCACCTGACAGCATTAAAGCTACAAATTGTGATGCAGATACTCTCTGACCAGTGCTCTTCCTAGCTTCTATTCAAGAACTTCAAATAAAACAATAGTGGCTCTGATTGCCACCCTTTACACCACCCCTTCTCCACAAAAAAATAGCTTGTGAGACTCTTTGTCACCCTACACCCTAGGCAGCAGTCAGTGTCACTGCTATAGAGGGAAAAACAAAGCCAAGAGATAGAAAAACTTAGGCAGATAGAGCACATATCCTAAACAGATAAGAAAGAAAACTAAAAGTCAGGGCCTCAGCGAATTAACATAGCAAAACAGATGATTAGAGCCTAATAAAATACAAGGGATTAAAAACAGGATCTTACTCCCAAAGAAGAGACCTTAAAAATAAAATGCAAATGAATCAGTTTGCACTCCAGACATCAAAGGCCTAACTGGAACCTGGAGCACGCTTGCTTTCTGTCACGTACAGTGATCCCCAAAACTGTATAAAAAGCCAATGGAGCGCCGGCATTTAGCTCAGTGGTACAGAGTCCTGCATCGCACGCTCAAGGTCCCGAGTTCGATCCCTGGTACAAAAAAAAGACTGTCACCAAGCCAGAGGAAAAGCATCCTGCTTGAGAAGGCCAGTCAGACACAGCCCAAGTTCACACAGGTGTGACTTTCATACATGAAA